GTGCAAAATAACTTAATCGAACAAAAGTTTATCGAATTACATTTTTCTGAACCAGTTTTGAGAACCGAATTGATTTTATAAACAGGTTTAAAATTGAACTGAACCAAAAGAATTGGTTTGGAAAACCAGAACAAACAAATTGGTTTATTTTAACTTAAACTGTATATTGGTTTGTTTTAACTCAAACTCGTTCAGAACCGGTTTGAAACCGTTAAGAACTAGATCGCATACCCGAACTAGTTCGAAACTAGGTATAAATCATAAATTGATTTTGAACCATGAACTGACCTGAGAAAAATAAAATCACTAAAGATAAAATAAAGGAGTTCAGTTCTTTGAACTGAATCGATTTAAACTCGTCCGATTCAATTCAACAAAAATATCAGTTAGGGTCGACCTATATCCACCCTTATTCCTAAGACTCAAATTCAAGAGCTCTAGTTAATGGAAACAAGCTCCCTACAACTTGAAATAATGATTGTTGGTCATATTTTCAATCTTTAAATTTTGTATAAGATGGGTCAAAGTTTTTATAAATGCATATAAGATAACAAGTTATATAGAAATTTTACATAATATATGGTGAGATAAATTTTTATTTAATTTTAAATTTTTAATAGAGTTTAAATTATTTTATTAAAATAAATAAATAAATATTTTAATAAAACTGCTAGAAATAATAAATTTTGAGGATTAAAAGCTATTTAAATGAATAATATCCATGCATCAAACTTCAAAAGTGACTATTTGTATTAATATCGATTATCAACTGGTATTAATTAGCTGACTATTTATAAGTAAGGTTATATGAAAACATTTGACTAAAATATTGAATATCAAATCAATAGTAACCTGATTATTTTTTTTATTTAATTTTCTCAAGGTATCCCGACAGTCAAAGATTAATCATTTCGAGACATAGAGTTCGAGACATAGAGATCACCGAAGTAGGCTTTGCATCTACCAATAAAGTCTTTTTCATACACATAGCTAGAGATCGAACCTCTATCAACATGTTCAAAGAACTCAGTCATCTACCAATTGTGCCGGACTTTATTAGTAACCTGACTATTTCTTATATGTACACTCAAACTAGCTTATCGAGGGAGCATGTGACTCTTATTGGCAAGAAATGAACTAATTTGATCAAGCTATCCGCGATAACCCATCTTGCATCATTCGCTACTTGGATCCTTGGTAGTCGAATAACAAAATCCATAGACACATTTTTCTACTTACATTCTAGAATTTGTAAAGGTTGTAATAATCTGTAGGTTTTTTTATATTCAATCCTCACCTTTTGACAGGTCAAATACTTTGCAACATATTTTATAATTTATTTCTTCATTATGGGCTACCAAAAAATTGTCTTGAGATATTGATACATTTTTGTTGATCTTGGGTGGATTGTTAATTGTTATCTTTACTCTTGTACGCCTCTTCTAGGATCTTTTCTCTCAATTCTCCATCCTTAGGGACATAAATCCTTCCTTGGTATAGGATAATCTTATTATTTGTATTTGTGAAACAATCTTGATTCTCGTGGGACTTGAGAAATTCATATGATTTTTGAACTTGTTTGATTTGTTCTTGTAAGTCACAAGTGACATGTTACATACTTAACCTCAGACTAGTCGAGTTTAGGATTATAGATGAAATCATGTCTCTAAATTTTTCTATTGTTTCCAACTCTTGAACTATCATATTAAATAAGTGCAAAGACGTAAGACTAAAGACATCTGCAACATCATTTGCCTTACCTGAGAGGTATTTCAACTCAAGATGAGGGAATTATTTGCAATTACATCTATAAATTTTTCTATCATCATCATCATTATTATTATTATTAGGGTTTAACATTTCTGTAGATAGGAAAAAAAAAATTATCTCTCTTCTTTTCACAATGAGACCACTCACTTTTATGTGAGTATGGCAAAAAAATATTTTCTGTAGCAAAAACATAAAATTTTCCCCTTATTATTAATTAATTAATGAGTTTGATTTGAAAAATGATAACCGTTAATTGGCGAAAATCAACGGTTAAGATGTGATAATAACATTGGTAGTAACATTATTTGGTTGTCACAATATATTATCCCTTATTATTATAAATAAATAAAAAGGGAGTGACACCACTTCTTATATTTAATATTGAATTTGGTATGAACGAGTGAAATATCATATTCATTTAATATTTGGATTTACATGTTTGTCCTTCTTTCACTCATTTATATGGAGATTTTTCCCCGTGTGCTTTCCATGGTATACGGTATTCATGTTTGTCAGCACGCTAAACTCTTAATAGCTAGTTGATAATATCTATGGAATGTTTATCAACCAATTCAAACCGATTCAAACTGCAGTGATCAAATGGAAAAATTGATAACCGAACGAAAACTCAAAAAATCGACCTACAAGGTGTGGCTCAGTTGGCTTGGTGCTGAGTCCAAGGGTTTCAGGCTGTGAGTCTAAAGGGCTTGAGTTCGAATCTTGGTAAACACATTTTGTGGGTAGCGGAGAAACCCTTGCCCTCTCAATCCGCGAAAAGGGATTAGTCCCATCCTATGTGGGGTGGGGATACCCTTGGGTTTACTCAAAAGAAAACTCAAAAAATCGAAAATCGAAAAAAAAATTCGTAAATTTTAATTGGATTGGATTGGATTTCTGTTTGATTGATGAAAATCGATCCGATCCAAATCAATCCAATATATTAATTTCCCTCTACTTACTTAGATTTTTCCCCAATTATAGTCCAAAAAATTCTAAACTCAATACCCATTAACCCATCGACTAAACCCAAGAAAAAGTCTAACCACATCTCATCAATAAAATTTCATTGCTCTACAAAAAAAAACTATATTATTGTTTACTGATGCTTCTGTATTTCAAAAAAAAAACTTTACAAAGCCAATATATACAAAAGATATGTTATTTTCACAATAACCATTAAACAGATTTTAGATTTTTCAAAAAATCGAAAAAATTGGATCAGATCAGATCAGATTTGAAAAAAAATCAAACCGAATGAATGATTATATGATCAAACCGAAAGAATTGGATCAGATGATTTTTGCTTTCAAAATCGATCCAATTCAGACCGCGAACACTCCTACTCATGTACTTAAAATATAAACACAAGGAAATATTTTTAATTATGTTTCAATAAAATGAGTTATATGGTATTATATTAACAATTAATTATTAAAAGACATAAATACTCATAAAAATAAGAGACATGCTATATTTATAATTTTTTTATTTACAACATATTTTATATTGTTAGATTAAAATTAAATTAATGATAATAAAATAATGTTAATTAAGAATCTGATTTGATTTTAACAATTTGCATGAATGTAAGATTTTGTAAGAAAAACAGAAGTTATAAATATGAAATTACTTTATGAAATTTTATTTGTATAAAAATATTATACTAATTAATATTATATTATGTTTCACTTAATTAAGTATATATAAAAATATTATTTATATTTTTATATTTTAAGGAGACACGTGAATGAATATTAATTATCAATTATTAAAGAATAGTAATATACTTACGTAAAAGAATGATATAAAAGTCTGTATTTTAAAGTTGAATTAAAAGAGAGAAATTCTAAAAAGGCAACTGATGTGGACCTTGGGCCCTTAATAACTGTCAAAATCGTCATGAATCACGGCTTTGAATAGGAAAGGTTATTGTGGGGTGTCGCGACAACAACGATAACGTAATTAACATGGAAACCCCCCTCCTAGTTCTTGCTTTGTCCACTTCACTCGTGTCGTGCTTGCCTCTCTCTTCTGGAAAATGTCACAGTGGGCTTTTTAACAACACTGATATTTGTCCAAGCCCGTTTTTTAAAAGTGCCATTCCATTCATACATCACTACATGGTACTGCTGGTGGTAGAGTGCTACCTCTTATCTTATACGGACGCTATTCGTCCACATCATATACTTTACATCAAATCAATTTACTCGGAAAAGAATATTATTTTTATTATTTTTAGTACAAAGATTTTATTTATTTATTTACATAAGACTTGTGTCTTGATTCTGTTCTCCGTTCTTTCTAAATAATACGGGAAAAGTGTCTATCATTTAAAATTACACAACATACATCCTTTCACTCTCACAAAGAGGTAGGACCCACACCTTTATTTTTTTTTGTTAACTCTCTCTCCTCCTTTATCTATCTCTTTCTCTCTCTTAAAATGACACAACTTTACATCCTTTAAAATTATACACACTTTTCCCAAATAATATATAATCACTCTTAAAATCTGGATAATTCTACTAAAAAAAAGAAATGGATAATCCACTCTCTTAAGTACGATTCCCTTTCCGTCCTTTCACCCCAAAATTATACAAAAACTATATATCAGCTCTCTTTTTTTCTTCAATTTTTTTTTTCCGCAACCGTTTTTATCCAAAATGCTCTTTCACATAAGTAGTAACCTAATGAATACTCCCTTGCTCTTTAAAATCAGTTTCGACTTTCAACTTTTAACAAAAATTAATAATTTTATTACCATATATTTTTTATAAACAATCCCAAGATTGTATTAAGAAAAATTGCTCTCGACCTCTAGTTATCTCTCTCTCTCACACACACATAAAACGATAGAAAGACTTGTGCCTTACAAGATATAGGATAAAAACTAAATTTTCTTTTGTCAAATGATAATATTAATGACTATATTCAATTTTAATGAAATCCAAAGTATACTCTTACAAGAAAAATGTGTACTTTTTCAACAATCAAGTATAACTGCAAACTTTTATGCAAGTGACAAAAAACTTTATGGTTAGAAACTCCTCGTACTGTATGAAAGATTTAACTCAGTTTTAATTTCGAAGAAGATTATACAGAAAAAAAAAACACATTAGCTTGTGTGTCTTAAAATCTTTACCTCGTTAATAACAACTAACAAGAAAAACATTTTCACACACCAAAAAAAAAAAAAAAAACATGAAAAACCTTTTTGAATAAAGAACTTCTAATTTTCACTATGCATCTAATTAATAATAATTTTCAAAGGAATTTCGGTAAGACTCCAAAAAAGAAAAACTTTGCCCCACCCTGTACAGAAAATCATACTGCTAAATGCCATCTTTTAATTTATCGAAGCCCTTTTTTTTCTTTTTTTTCTCTGTCTCTCTTTTTTCTCTCAAACTTAAAAGTTGTTGAGTTGTGTGTAGAAGCTGAAATCTCCGTCAAACGGCAGCGTTTTGGGCCACAACGTCATTTTCGATATCGGCACCACCGTGGCCGCCTCCAACAACAGCACCACCGTCGTTTTCTCCAACCCACAGTTCCGCCGGCGAGCACTCCATCTTATGGCGCAATTTCCAATCCAGCGCTTGGCACCCACGCGAGCAATAGTTGACCTTGCCGCAAACCGAGCACCGCCGGAACTCGTGCGGCCGCGTCTCCGGCCGCCCACACCCAATGTGCGCGCACAGCCTCAACCCATCGCCCAACCCGCCCCGACCCGACTCGAACCACTCCCTCAGGAACCAGTTCGCCGGCTGAACCTCCGGCACCGCCACGTTGTACCCGTAATCACTCAGCAACGGACACCCAGAGTCCCTCAGGGAGCGCCACGGCAGCATAGACGAAGAAGAGCGCGGTGGCGACGCTCGCGCCACGGCGCGTAGGACATAAGCGACCTCACGCACGTTAGCCTGGACAAGCAGCCTGCGTCCCTCGGCGACGTCCTGTCGAACGCCGTAACCGTCCTGGAGGCAATGCCCCAACTCCCGAAGCGCGTCGATGTGACCCAGAAAAGATGCACGCGCGGACAGGGCCACACCGGCGCGTAGATCCTTATCCCGCTTGGAGCCCCCGCTGCCGTTGAACTGTATCACCGCGAGCGAGTAAAGCGCCGGCGCGTGCATCCTCATCGCCGCCTTCGCCAGTAGCGAAAGCCCGCTCCCTCGGTTTTGCAGACAGTAAAATCGGATCTTCACCAACAAAAAATAAAATAAAATAAAATAAATAAATAAAAAAAGAAAATCCATTGTTTATTTTTCATTCAGCATATAAAATAACACAGCAACTAACCATTCCAAGAGTATAACAGGCGTCGACGTTACCGGCGTTAACGCAACGTTTGAGGAAACGGTGAGCGCAGTCTGACCAATTTTTGGGCTTAACGGCGAACACTTTGGGCCCAGCTTTTGATAATACCAGACGATGAATCCCTAACTGGTTCAGTCTCTTGCATCTGTTGTTTGTGTTTTCTTTTTATATATGAATATGGTTTGGGGAATAATAGAAAAAAAAAAAAAGGAAACAAGTTTAGGTCAAAGTGAGACTTACGTTGAGAGGATGTTGATGAAATCGGAAGGAGAAGAAGCGGTGGAGCTGAGCTTGGAGAGAATGAAAACGACGACGTCGTCTGGTAGGTCGTTGAAGAGATCATGCTTGTTGTTGTGTCTCAACGGCCTTCTCATATTCCGGTGCTTTTTGTTATTCGCATTCGAGAGAGTTCTTCTATGTATGAAAACACACTCGATGTTTTGTAACGGCAAAACGATAGAGGAAGAATGAAGGATGCTTTATATTTGTATTTGAAGACCAGGAAAAGGCTAATGGGGCCCCACATGTCACAAGCGTTGGTTTTCTTTTTTCTTTTTTTTTCTAATTTTTATTTTATTTTAAGTCAAAACTGTATAGGTTAAAATATTTATTATTGATGACAGTACGTTATCAAGAGATTAGTGATTTGCATTTCGTAACACCAGAGTTCTCTATAAATAAGATATAATATATTGTTAAGGATCCACGTTTGGAAAGGGTAATAATGGCTCTTTAAAGTTCGAGCTCTGAACCTCTGAACTCGCCCTCTCTCTCAATTCAATTTTTTTCGACTTGTATTTGGGTGGGACCTGGAACGTTCCACAAGATGTAATAGCAGCGACTGGTCAAAGGGACTACTCAGAGTTTCAGACTCACACCACCATCGCGCTGTGTTTTTTTAGTCTCTGAATTTTTTCTATTAGCTCTATAATAATTATTATTACTATTTTATAAATTGTTAGGCAAGAGCCTAAGGAGCAAAAAAACAACGTAACAGCCTACAAGGTACAAGGCATAGAGACCTCAGACCATCACGCAGGAATGTTTGTAGGTCCGTGTGCTTTGGATCTCAAATTAAAAAAAAAAAAAAACTAAAACTAAAACTGATCATATATAATTTATTTTTAAAAAAAATTTCAAAAATTTCAAACGGAGTCAATAGGATTTGTTCCGGTTATCAGGTTAAAGGAGAAAAAAAATTTATTTTATTCTTTAATTTTTTTATCTCCATTTATTATTATTTTTATTTATAATTTTAGAGGAAGGTTATACTTATCATCTTTTTTTTACAACTTCTTACAATCATATCTTAACACTGTTGATTTCCGTCAATTAACGGTTACCATTTATTGTGTATTAATAATTAATTAATGAGTTTAATTTGCGAAAATAATAACCGTTGATTGGCAGAAATCAACGATGTTAAGATATGGTTGTAAGAGATTGTAAAAAAAAAAGTTGTAAGTATAACTTTTCTCATAATTTTAATTAGGTGAGGGTGTATCAAATTTGTTACCTCATTTTCTATATCTGCAATTGAATAATGACAATTTAACGCAAAAAAAAAGATAGGATATTGTGACAACCAAATAATGTTACTATCAATGTTACTACCACATCTTAACCGTTGATTTCCGTCAATCAACGATTATCATTTTTTACGAATTAATAATTAATTAATGATTTTGATTTGAAAAATGATAGCCGTTGATTCACAACATTGGTAATATGATATAATTTTTTTAGTGATTTGAATCCATCATAATTAATGAAGATAAAGGGTCAAAGTAATATGATAAAAAAATGCATAACTTTGAAAGCTTGAAAATAAAATAATAAAAAATGGAAAGGTTATTCTTAAATTAGTATAAGAATAATAAGTTTTACACTAAATCTTGACCATTAATATTCTTACATTTAACGGCTCATATATCTAATAAATTAAAGTATTAGATACAAAGAGGATCAACGATAAAAAATAATGGTATAAAATAATTCTAACCCGATAAAAAAGTTCATTGGGTGATCAAATAAAGAGTGAGTCTCGGATTGAAAAATCATAAATCCAATAATTGAACAAGGGTAATTTGGTTTTGATGGAATTTGACACAAAGTGAAACAATTATTTACCCTGTTTTAAAACTTGAACTAATTATCGACTGGGTTAAGATATTAGATCACTAGATTATTAATTCAATCGGATTCAACCAAATATACTGTTCATATATTAAAATCGAGCGCATAAAATCTGAATATTATATCTATATGTAATCGAAAGTGGCAACATTTTACTCTTTATCTTAATAGTTTGCATAATTTACAATTTTTTAATAAAATCCTCATAAAGGTAATGCATAAAATAAAAGAATAATATTTACTAATTGTATAAAAATAAAAGAATAATATTAACAAAATGTATACAAATAAAATAATAATATTATCTAAATGTATAAAAATAAAAGAATAATATTAATTAAATTATGTAAAATTGGCGCATTCTATCATCTCTCATGAGTCCAACCCCTTTAGGGAGGTATAAAAAATTTATGAATCAATGTTAAAAGTGGATCTCGCGAATCAATAACCATAACAAGCTAGTAAAAAAAGTGAGACGGAATAAGATTATCATATTCAGATTTTATGCACTTTGAGATGATACAGAGCAAATGTCAGATACAAAATTATTGCACTATGGATACTTCTTTATTAGTATAAAAGCATAATCGATGAAAACGACAATACCAATTATACAAATGTTTTCATAAAATATAAGTTTTTTTCAATTACAGAATATATAATTAACAGGAATAAAAGAATGAATGAACATATGAGGAGGGATGAAAAGTTGGCTAGTATATATAGTCTCAACCAGAGCTTTGTTTTTTAGTTTTTTAATTTGAAAAATCAAATTATTTTTAGGATATTCCTTCAGTTTTGAGCTTCTGATACAGGTCCAGCTTGCTTAACCACCACCACCACCACCCCCCCCCCCCTCTTTTGTTTGAATAAGAAGTAAACTTAAAAAAATGGGTCAGTTTTTAACACACACACAAAAAAGATCAACCGGATTTCGTTTAACCCATTAAGACTCACCAGGTCAATCAGTCTAAACCGAGTCAAATGCATGTTCGATCCAAATAGTCAGTTGAACCGGTGCCCTCACCAGGTCACCAAAACCTGTGTCGATCCGAATTTTAAAAACTAATTAAAATTAACTTCACTCGAAAAAAAGCATGCCACAATATGGAGATCACACATTGAGATAAAAAAAGTATGGTATTATTATTGTTTAGCAATGATATTACAAAAGTATGCCACTTCTTTCTCCACATTTTTTTTGGAGATAAAAAAATAGTATTATTTTTTTACGGGAAAGGTTAAATTGACAAAAAAAAATTCTTACAAACTACACTAAGTTTGACTAATCATACACTCTTGATTCAAGTCTGACTGATCAGACTTTAGTTTGTAAGTTTGTAAGAAAAAAAGTTTGTCAATATAACTCCTCCTTCTTTTACAATATAAGTAGGGTATTATTATTGTTTAAGTTGATGTAATTTATTATTATTTTATTAGACGTATTTTTTGAAAGCATTAAATATGTTTTTACTAAATGTTAAAATATATATTATTAACCCTTCCCAGCAAAAAAAGCCAAGAGAAAGATCAAAGATAATATCAAAATCGATCGAGCATGCATATGTGAGCCAAGTAGAATCACGTACTTAATTTTCAACTGAAATAAGAGGGAATTACATGGCTTCTAAGTTCTAACAGCTCACTCCACACTTTAGTTTTGTTTTTCTATTTTACATAAAATAAAGAGTTATATATTTTTTTTATTTTTGAAGCAGGGAAAAAATAGGCTGGGGAGGGGGAGGTTTTTGTCATTTTAATGTTAGGGCAAACTATTTTTTATTTTTTTTATACATAGGGAAAACTATTAACTACAATAATAATTTGCAATGAAATTATTAATTGCCTATTAATAGAAAAATTCAAAATTTAAACTCAAATTGCACAACTATCAAAAACAAAAGGTGTATTAAATAGAAAGAGTTGTTGATTTAGCAGTATTCTACCTACACCTCAGAATTTGACCTATCCAAAAGATGATGAATTTGATTTCTCATAGCCGTAACTCATGAGGGAGTGAAGAGTAGTCTCAAACCCGAAATCAAATTAGTGAGATTTATTGGGGCTTCCAACACCGGTTGGTATCTATTAGAAAAAAAAATTGTTCTAAGTAAACTAACCTATTGCTGATTTTTCTTCTTTTGCACATATATTTGATCAATCAAGTATTTTAATGGAATGCATTTATTAAGAATTAATGCCATAGGTTAAAGAAAAGGAGGATGAGATTACCTTTATATATGTTAATTGGGGACGGATCCGTTTACAAATGTTTTTTGAAAATTTTTACAAATTATACTATGTTCTCCAGGAAGAACATAGTGTAATGTTCTCCCGGGAGAACATATTGTAATTTGTAAGAATTTATAAATAAAAAAGTTTGTAAATATACCATGCCCCATAATTGGTATACCTCTTACACAAACACTTGAACTGTTTAAATAAGTTTGGTATGTAAACATGTTAGCAAAGTTATTTTTATTTTATTTTTTTATCATTGAGGAACCGGAGACATAACCTATTATATAACTACCACATCCCTCACCAGGTTTGTTAGCAAAGTTATTAAAATGATGACTTGAGTTGCTTAAATTACAGCATATTAAAAGTGAGTTACTTGAATCCGACTCATTTAATATTTATGTCAAGTGGGTTCAAACCGAGTATCTACAGTGTTACAAAAGTATATATTCTTTTATTAAAAGCATAAATAGGTGGCACTCAAAATGATATTAATTACAAAAGAATGAGTAAAATAAAATTAATTTGATAAATTACATTTTATCAACTTTAATAAATGATCCACCGAGTCTTCCATTCTATTAGAATATGAGGGACTTGTTCCTTGAATTTAAAATTAATGCTATTTTGTCTTGCTCAAATTTAGAATTTATAAAGGGACAAGATTATTTAACGATGGTGTCAAACTTTTTAGTTTGATATTCGTTAATCTTATAATTTATTATGAATTAATTATTAATTAATAAGTGTGACTCAATAAATTATAATTGTTAGATTTATGAAAATCAATGATTAAAATTTGGTGTCAAATAATCCTATCCCATTTATAAATTATGAAATTCTCATATATGTTTGTGATTATAAACTTATGAATTATCATACAATTTATATTTGATGATTATTTCATGTTTTTTAGTTTTTATTATTATTTATTTTTTGGTCTAGTGGTTCAAGTTGATATTCAGGATTGATAATGTTAATATTTTTTTTGGGATAATAACTTTTTTTGTAGCAGGAGAAGTTATTATTTTCTTACAGGCACAACAATTAAGAAAGAAAAAAGTG